TATTGAATACTGCAGGCAACTGTAACATAATGCTAAGTATTCGTGCATCTAAACATATCTAAGCATATAAAAATACAGTAAATATATGGTATTATAATCTTATGGGCCCACCGTTGACCAAAATGTCAGTATGTGGCACCTGACTGTGTATGTAGGTATATGTGCAGAGTCAAAGTTTGTTCTTTACTAGTTTTACTTCCAGTAGAATTCTGAGATGCCCTCTTGAAAGAGAGGGAGTTGGTTACCACTTGAATACAGAATTGCATACAACTCACGGCCTGGTTTTCCTGTGTGAGAACACGGGAATGTGCGATGCATGTGAACATCCACTGAAGGTGGTGGCAGGAAAGAAACCTGGAGAACCACTAGAGCAACAACCGCTTCTTCACAACCTTGTAGATAGGATTTCTGACCCAGATACAGGCTTCCTGGGAGAAATTTAAAGTCAGTGTCTCATTAACTTTATTTTGGGTCGTACGTGACATCTAAATAACATTACTTTTGGCAATTTATTGCTCAACTGTGCATTTTACTTTTTAAGTATACCAACTGTGTAAATACCTTTGGTTAACATACTTTGTAACTGTCTTTCCATGTAGGGATGGAAAGGGGACATTGGCCCTCCAGGATTTCGTGGTCCAGTAAGTGTGATTGAAGACAGTATCGATGCCGTGTTTGATCAAGTCCTTTAACGTATGGAGGAAATTTTGAATCAGTGTTTCTCATTACCTGTTGTGATAGAGAGTGTAACATTTACCTTTTTATCAAACCAGGGCAAAAAATAGCTGTTGTCATTATTTGTCCATTTGACAATGGGTAAATATTTCAGTTTGGTCCCTGGCATGCACTAGTAATGCCCATCCTGGGACAGGGAGGACAAGAAGAGCTTTGTCTAATCAGACCTGGCCCCAGGTGATCCTGCACCCTCTGGGGTAGAGCAGGCCGCTGGGGAGGACAGCTGGGAGCCAGCTCCTCCTCCCTCCACCTAGGCCTGGGTACGACAACTCCAGAGCTTTCACGCAGCAGAAGCTCAGCCGTGGGTTCAATGCAGGATCAGCAAAAAGCAACCATCCCAGCCCAAGCGCCATTGCGGCAGGTAGTGGTCCCCTTCCCAGCACGAACATGAATTTGATATCAGCTCCTGACTGCATGTTCTGTGACTCTGAAGCTGAAGGAGAGGAGAAAAGGGGACCCAGGCTCTGTGTGCTGGTATCTGTTCATCTTCCACCTCAAAAGACATTGGTCCTCACATGCAGTGGGCTGAGTAGCAGTACCATGTATGACTGTGCAGGTTGAACAGAACGGTCCATGGTGGGAAAACAGTCATGCTGGCAAGGGGTGTCCTGTTAGAAATGCAGTTCCCAGATCCCCAGCCTCTGTAAGTTAACTCAGTAATTGGAGGCGAGGCTGGAAATCTGAATTTCTACACGGAAAGCAACTGATTCAAATGCATACAGCCCCTGTTTTAGGATGTTTTGTGCTGCCACAACAGAATGCCTGAGACTAAGCAATTTATTAATATAAAGAACAGAAATTTATTTCTCACAGTTCTGGAGGCTGAGAAGTCTAAAATCAAGGTGCTGGCATTTGGTCTGGAGAGGGCTTTCTTGGCTGCACCCTCACGGGGCAGAGGGCAGAAGGGCAAGCTAGCCTAAGGCTGCTCGAAGCCTCTTTTAAAAAGACTTTAATCCTACCACTAAGGGAGAAGTCCTCATAGCCTAATCACCTCTTAAAGGTCCTACCTTTTAATACTATCACAGTGGCAACACCTGAGTTTTGGAGGGGCTACGTTCAAACCATAGCAGTCCCGAAATACTTTAATAGAGTTGCCAGGAAGACTAAAAGGGTTATTTTGTGAAAGCACTTAGCACAGTGCCAGCACTTGGCAGGTGCACACACATCATTACAGACTTTGTGGTGGAGATTATTATGTAATTTATTATTATTAATTTTTTGTGAGTTTATACATATTGCTTAATCACAAGACTCTTATTACCTCATCTTCAAACAAGTCAACAAAGTAATTGGCTCATGCAGCGTACGGAAAAACAAAACAAAGACTTTTGGCTGGGCACAGTGGCTCACGCCTGTAATCCTAGCACTCTGGGAGTCTGAAGCAGGAGGATCACTTGAGCCAGCGAGTTTGCGGTCACAGCGAGCTATGATGACATTCTAGCCTGTGCGACAGAGCAAGACTCTGTCTCAAACAAAACAAAACACTAAGTTTTAAAAAACCTTTCATACTCCCATCTTCATTCCTTCAAGATAAATATACTAAATGCTAAACAAAATCTGCTTGCACTTTAGAGGAACTAGCCTTCCTCACTTACTGTGTGTTTTCTTGTGCTCAATTCCCTATAACTCTGTTTGCAGCTTCAACTAACTTCAAAAAAAATTCTGCTTAGGACGTAAATGGTCAAGGAGACCAGCAGTAGGTCCACTGAGCTGGAAACATTATTCCTTGATTCTTGAGGGTCAATGATGCCCTGGAATTTAAAGAAATAATAAATCCAGTATTTTTTGATGTGCGGGTCCCACTGTACTTGGAAATACCTTTAGTCCATCAGGACCAGCATTTTTAAAAAGTGAAATAGAATAGAATAAAAGGTTTCAGGATTGATTCTATGGTGTAATGGTAAGCCACTCTTCTGTGAAACTTTAATTTCTTTCATAGATAGGTATGTATGTCTGTATGTGCATATGTAAATGTGGGTGTGAGACCAGGATCACATCATAAAATGTATTTCTAATTGAAAGCCCATGAGATATATAATATCATGATACCAGAAAGGTCTACTTTTTCTTTAAATTTATTCATCTACATATACATAACTACCATATTCCTGCTAACATATAAACCTATAAATTCAGGAAAATTAGAAAGGTATCTTTCTGGCCAAAATGAAGAAATCGATGTAATTGCATTTGATGAGCTGTCCATAAATAGCTATCCTTTCTCTTTATTCATTTCTTTCTCCTTTAAGACAGAATATTATGATGCATACCAGGAAAAGGGAGATAAAGGAATTCCAGGCCCACCAGGGCCCAGAGGAGCTCGAGGTCCACAGGGTGAGAATAAAGCATTTGCTGCACATTTTTCTGGTTTTCTTTCTAGGGAATAAACAGCATATGCTTGTAGACATAGGATTTGTGGGGGAGAGAGTTCAGGTGAGGAAAGGAAGGAGAGATCTCAGTTTTCATAGAGGGTATTTTTTAATGTCTCCTAATTTTCATATTTTCATTTTGCAAGTAGTCTACCAAGAAGATAATTTAATGATCTGTATGTATTAATAGCAAAGCATGAGGTTCGAGACTGGCAAGAAAACACGTGGGAGGGCAGGAGAAGGGAGTGTCAGGAATGAGCAGTCTCAGTGGGATTAGGGAAAATAGAGACCCGGAAATGCTGAAACTTGAACAAATCCATACAGATACTTACCAGGG